ACTAGCTTCAAATCAAACAACGAAGAAATTTAAACATGTGCACTTGCTGTTGTTGCTCTACACCGTTTCCTCCTTTGAAGCGATTCGTCACGTAACACAGTTGATGAAGACAATCAAACTTTGATATTCCAAGCGTAAAGGTCTTAAATTTTTAAATATCAATATAGATCAGGCACCTTCTTATTGCATAATTACTCTTATAAGGTTCAAAACACAGCTAAAATATACTTTTTTGATAGAAATTTAGGCAAAAGGAGTGAGGTATCATCAGTATTCATCAATATGTCACGGCAATAAGGCGATCACTGTCAGGAGCGAGAACAAATCTCAAGTAGCTGATATTTCATAGCGTACAGGTGAAGTTAATTGGTTTACAGTCAAGATCAAAAATTACTCAGACTGGTCTGGTCATTGCTACACTCGTACCTAAAGACGTGAATGCGCCGTTATATTCTAGTATGATTGTGAACGACTTTTTGGTCAAACATGAAACGTGAGTCGTCTCTCAGCCACCATACTTGTCAGATGTGGCTTCCTGTAACTTTTCTTTGTTTTCGAAACTGATAAATCCGCTTCGGAGAACGCGTCATAAGTTAATTGACCTTATTTTTATGCCAGACAAATTGTTCGCAAACTTAGTAACGGATAGGTGTGATGTACCCAAGCAAGGTGATTAACTAAGCAAGCGGCTGGAAAGAGGAAGATTCAAGTTCATATTTAACATTTTTTAATTTTTAGTTTAATTTTAGAAAACTATTATACTTGTTCAATTAATAAAGAGGAAATCCTTTAAAATAAAATCTTCCTAGTATCGTTAAGCGAACAAATATTTACAAGTTTTCACTCTGAAAACTATTTTTCAAAATATGATTTTTGTTGGCTTTTTTTTAACAAACAACTATATTTAAAGTACCCACAAAGCTGCATTTAGTACTATCCAACTTTAAAAGTTAAGCAGGCAAAAAAAAATAAAATACTAAATAATATGTCATTAACAAGGTCAACCCTTCTACACAACCTCTTCACCTAAACGAAGACCAAGCCCATAAACGCCACTTCCTTATCGGGAAAACAATAACTAGGAAATGAGCACTCAAGCTTGACTAATTCACGTCACGACAGTCAATTTCAATTAAAAATTTTTCATCGCAACCATCAGCGCCAAGCAATGATTCCCTTCACCTTCTGCTCATCGCACGTTTCGCCGTTGAAATCGGCTTCGAAAGCTACCAACGCTGGCTATTTCAATTGATTTGACAGCTTTCGCTAAGTACTCGGCATCAACAGCTTACAGGACAACGCCATCTCGCTTACAAGTGATACATGCCAATTTTCACATACTAGCAAATACAAGCGTGTGTATGTATGTGTGCAAATATGACAGCTTCATAAGCGGCGGTCGCGACATTGATGTATTCGCGTCACGTTTTCGCTATGAAGACAATTTAATGCCGGGTAATAAAATAAAAGCGGTCATAAGCAACATAACGGTTATCTGAGCGTGTGTTAGTATGTACCGCTGTGTGCGTGTGTGCATGTATGTAAACTAATAAGTTTCAATGAGTGTGCGAATAGCAAATGCCGGCATTTTTGAGCCTCCCGGCAGCAATGGCGACGGTTCCATCGGTACACATACATGCACATCGAAGTTAAGCGTTAAGTACACATATAATGTGCAGCTTGAAATTGCTTCGCTTAATAAAATGTTAAAAAACAAGAGAGTCTAACGGTATCGGCATCTTAAGTGATTTAAAGCATTGTGATGGGATTGATGACGAGAATTTTGAATTGCCACTTGGGCTTTACTGCCTCATTATTTGAAAATATCTAAAATTCATATTGCTTTCTACTCTAAGTTCGGCGCTTTTTACATCGCAGAAGCTACCATACTGTGTGATTCTTATGAGAACTGTGTGAGATTCGGAACCCCAAGATCCAACTGCAGTGTCTTTTTAACGCACTATCCTTATTTCTGTTGTTGTTATGGTCAAATATGGTAATTTTGGAGAAAAATCTTTAGGCGGTCAAAAATTCATGGCAACGGTGTATTGTTTTTATCAAGCTAATATCTATCAAGCATTTTATTTATGATCAATTATATAAGTGTTTTAAGTACCACAATAAAGCGACGTTCTAAGTTGTTCAAGTGAGATTCGTATTAGGATCGACCTCTTAACCTCACCTAATCTTTCCTATCTCTCTTAGTGTAGTTTTCTGTTGCTCGCTTTCTTCTAATACTTCAGAGCGAACGTTTCCCTTGAGATACTTTAAGGTCGCTCAATATTGGACAGTCCATCAGCATCCTTGTGATTAAGAAATCCTATAACCAATATATCTCTTTACTCACTCACAGATCAAAGCAACATTTAGTAGTCATGACAATATTAGTTTCTGGAATACTGCTTCCCATTTTTCCCCGCTTGTTCATTAGTGCTTCATAATAGTACGTCAAACCCTACTCTTTGAGCATACTAGCAAAGTTAAGTGGATGAGAGATAGAGAGAGAGACAGAGACACATAGAGAAAGAGAAAACTGTTTAGCTGCTAGGAGAACATCGCCCCTTTGGAACAGTTGGAGGACTAAATCTCGATCCCTCTACAAATAAACTAAAGATGCACAGAACGACTGAAAAAACTTCTCACGGCACAATTCTCCGAAAATACCGTAGCTATCCATTCTCAATAAATACGAGAGGAAATATCAATGATCAAAAGGTACTATACTCAGAGAGTATTCTCTTGTAATGTTTGCGACAATTTCCAAAATTATTTATAATCCTAGATAATTCAAAAGTAAACAAAAGTCACCATGGTGAAGACCGGAACTCTTCTAGACAACTCTTTTAACACAATTTTTCCTTCTGGTTGTTACACATTTCGTCGCAAAATTAATTTACCCTGTTCAATGTATAAAAATTTTAGGTTAAAGAAATAAAAAGTATTCGCAAAAAAGCTTCTAAATGTCACCTGTAATAAGCCCTGCTAAATAATCTAGAATTAATCCAAAATGCTTAATTCATTCAAATGGAAAAACGTCAGGTGTAAAATTTTCTTACGTAAGCGAAAAAGAAAAATGCGAAAGCAATAAAATAAAGCAAGAAGAAAAAAAATAATCGAAGGTAGGAAGTGAGTCTTCCGTAACTCCACGTTTAATCTCATGTCTGAAAGTGTTGGCCACCACTTTCTTTTCCGCCAAAAAAAAATCGCCAGCAGTTGACCAAAAGTGTGAGGGTTACCATTATCTAGGCAATTGAGCGCGCATACAAATTCATATATGTATGTGGGTGAATAAGCTTATATTACCATACGTGAGAACGAGCAACATCTGCATGGCTATAAATTCTGAAAAAATCGAAAAAAAAACTGTATGTATGTTTGATCGTGTCTGTATAGAGGTGATTTAAGGTCAGCGGCCAAAATAAGAACTTGCACACAAAACTATTTATATACTGCCAAAACAACTCAATTCTAAACGAGCCTCTAATACATATATACACATACACATACCGTATACACATACGCTTACATGCACGTCACTTCGGGCGCAAGGACGCCTAGATCATATGAAGTGAAATTTTGACGCTCACCTATCAAACTCTGGCAGTTCAAGTCATTGGCTTGACCGGCACACACACCTGCTCGCATACACACTCACACGCACACACTCAAACCTAACAGCGTGCTTAAACTCTAGAGCTGTAGGTGTTGCGGTAGCTCGCAAGGTATTCGTTGGGTGTTGGGAAAAATGTCAGTTGAATTTCAGACGCTTTGCGGTATTAAATTGTCACCGCTGCCAGAGCTCAGCTATGCAGTGGTCTTCTTCAGAGCTGTGTGCTGAGCTGGGTTCGGATTGTATTGTAGCTGAGGCATTGACGGCACAGTTGCGTCGCTTGCAGCTGCTCTTCACCTTCTTGCTTTCCTTCAGTTTACGTTTTCGTTTTTGTTTATCGCTACGTCTTGCTTATTGTTGTTGCTATACAAATTCCTACTACTCCCCTCTCTCTCTCCATGCATTACTTGTGGTATTTATTCCGACTGAAATGTCCCACAACGGTTTTGCGCTACTGCAGCAGCAGATTAAGGCACTGTGAGCAGGTGCTCTGTGTTAACCTCACTTTTTTAGAAGTGGTGGTTTTTTTTTTTGTTCAGTGTAAATGCTGTTAGTAGCTGAGAACTGAATTTAAATATATTAAGAGTATTAGATTTTTACGGGTTTTGGAGCAAATTTAATAATTGCACATACAAGTATATATATTATATTTACATTTAAGGAGAGTGTTGTCAATTATTTCGAAGTTATATTTATGAAACTACATACGGCTTCATGAAAATTTCACAGTATTATTAGGAAGCGTAAAAATATTCAAAATTCTGAAACATAGATGCTTTATATGAAGTAATGCTGCCACCTAACTGAAAATTTTAGTAAAAGCAAAGATTTTATCATATATTTTTTTGTTGATTATACTTATGATTCTGAATTTCTTGAGTCAAAAGAAAAATTTGGGACATTTCATTTTAAAAGCTCATGATAATGTTGCCATATTGAATATTCGTATTGTATATTTATGTGTATTTATGGATGCAGAAATATAAAAAATTCGAAGTTATAAGATTTACTAAAACACTTCAGTTACAATAACGATATGAATGACAAAAAAAAAGTTTAAGAATTTTTCTTTTAATAATGTTGCCACATTGCTGAAAAATATTTTTTTTAATATTAAGCATACCTCAAGAGACAGATATGTAAGTGCCATTAAATGACAATTTATACTAGAAACAATTTCGTAATAATGTTGTTGCCACCTAATTATAAAAAATATATAACACACCAAATTTTAATAAAATTGTAAAGTATTGAATAAAGTGCATTTAGTAGAGCTTATATTAAAAAATAAAGATACTAACTAAAATAAAGATGCCACATTTTAAAAAAAGTATATTTAAAACATTTTACCCACAAAAACACTATAATTCATAATCATCATACATGAATTGCACATTCAAGATATTTTTTATTTGCTAGGCTGCCACATATTTATAATTCAAACGTAAATATCTACAAAAGTTGATTATTTTGTAAAAAAGGTTGCCATATATTCCAACATTTATGTACAAAAAATGTTATGCTGTTCATATTGAAGAGCACTTTGAATGTTGTTGCCAGCTAGCGCAACTATTGGACTTTGTTTAATTAGTTAAAACAACGTATATCTAGAAGTGCGAATTAAATGATTTTTGATACTATAGGAAGCTTTTGTACGAATTACTTTCAAAAGTGTTGCCCTCCGCCAATTTCAGCTTTTTATTAAAAATTTAAGAAATTTGGTTTTCGTTGTCGTCAGCTTAAATATTTAGTCCTCAGCCAAATAATGGTAAAGAAACGCTTAAAGTAAGCCAGTGTGAACGCCTTCTCATTCACGGTCGAAAATTCTACAAGAGCAAACATTTAATGTCATTCTAAAATAGTTAATATAGAGCTTCATAGAGCTTGGCATTAATTCTTACAGAAAACTTACTTTCATGTTTTCGATGGACTCACATCTGTGCAGGTTTTGGAATTTTGAGAATAGCCGAAAGTAACAAAGAGTTAGCGGGCCCATTCGCGGCTTTTTACACTTTCATTTTCGAAAAATAAAAAAAATTTTAATACGAATCTGTCATCGACGTCAATTAAAATGTATTGAAGTAAAACGTAAGAGATGTTAAGTGAGAAAAAAAATAATATACTCACTTTAACGAGCGAAGCCCTGAGGTACTTTACTCGTCCCTTACCGGCTTCAATTTCACACTTTCGTACATAATAAGTCGAAAATACGCTTGAATAGTTATTTACCTGAATGAAAGTGAAAGCTGTTCGTCATTTGCTACAACCATGTATGTATATATATGTATGTATGTAAATACGTCAACTTTTATGAAAGAGATCTCGCTTTGCCATTGTATAACCCAAAACCCATTGTTATCGCTAAGCAAGCGGAGACAAAAAAGCGACATGTCACACTTGCGTGACGAAAAGTAATCGCATTCAATGCTGCCAATTGGGAATTTGTGATTGAAAACCGAAAAAATGCGAACAATGCCAAGGAAATCTGAAAGAAGTTTGAAAGAAAAGCCACTTGAAAGGGAGAATCTAAAGAGAAGGAAAATTGAATGAAGTAAATGAAAGCAAAATGGTCGAAACAACGACAAAACAAAACGAGCACCTTGCTTACCTCATAGGTGTAAATACCAGAAATGCAAAAGGAAAAAAAACACAGCAACGCTTTGTTAACGAGATAATCGAACTGAATTGCTGCAAAGTGCCGAAATTACAGCCAAACACTTAATGGCAAAATGGAAATGCGCTCAAGCTGATACATGAATTTACATAGAAGAAGGTACAAAAACAATAACAACAAAAAACAAGACTCAGGAACTCTATCTATTTATTACCTCAATTTCTGCTCTATGGTTCATAGACAAAGTGATGAAAGGAGATATTTAACCGTTATTTCTTTGAAATAAATTTAAACAATCTGCTACTTATTGTTAAATAAAAGTAATAAAAGTTGAATGCAAACGAAGTTAGCTGCAAGAGCCTTGTGCACGCATCGATAACAGTTTTCAATTCACGGTGAGACCTTTTTTGGTTAAGGGAAGTAGATATGCGAAGTTGTGTCACCGTTGTATAAAAGTGCCCCTCTGAAACTCGTTACGTTACGCATATAAATGATGATCAGCATGTAAATACAGCCGGGAAATACCTCTTATCACAAAAATATTCTCCCCGCATTTAAATGCTAGACCTCACATATTTGTCGATATTTTCGACAGTGATCCGAGGCAGTGCTGATCATTTATATATATATAACCCTAAATTTATCTCCATTAGTCATTAGTCCTAAAAATTTAATGTTATAGAAAATCAAAAAAATGCAGGCAGGTGGCAACCTTCTTACTTTCTAATCATCCGAGCTTAACAAAAAATCTTAGGCTTAAAAGAGGGGTATTTCTTCTCAGAAATTATGTTCAATTGTTAGCATTCCTAAAGCTTTTTAGTTTGATGTCGATATTGTCATGTTTCTCCAAAACTTTGTTGTTAATTTTCAAATTGGTGGCAAACTCCTTATAAAATATCTATAAAGATAGGCATTATTAAGTCCCTATAGTTTTATAGTTTGAGTTGTATTTAAAAAATAAAATTACTTTCGGCAAATATTTGTTGTTCCATTTGAACTCCGAATTTTAAATATTCCTCACATTTGAGATAACTCCGTGAAGTTGCATAAAAATATTATACAAATATTTGCAACTAAATACACGTTCCAAGCAACTTGATTGGTTGAAACGTGAGTATACTTTTCACTCTTGTTCTGCTTCTATTGCTATGCAGTTAATCAGGCGTTACGATATAAATTGATTCTACAACGAAGTCGCAACTCATTGCATCACAGCTTACAAATATGTCGTACCCACACAAACAACTACAACTATAAACACACATATGCAGCTGGGGTAGTGTCCTCAGCTTCGAAGAAATGTGGAAAAATGAGTTTAGGGAAAATGACAGCGCATAATGCGCATTTTGCGTAGCGTACCTGCCGCACGGCGCATCATTCGATTATGCTAATCATATGAGCGAGAGCCAGCCAAGTAGCGAATGAGGCGAAAGAGGCGATAATAGAAAAGAGTATTGTGGAAGTATCGTATGACAATTGACATGACAAAAAAAACACTAAGAAAACAAAGAAAATTTATTTAAAGCAAATATACACAGTTAAATATTGGCTGAGTATCAAGTGCGACACGGCGTATGAGTAACAAATGCACGTATTGCGCGCTTGTCATCGAATCGCTCGTCACGCGTCGGCCTCATAAAACGTACGCAAAACGAAGTATATGTGCAGAGTATAATTTTATATTATATTTTGTAAAAAGGCAACAACAACAAGGTATAAAATAAAATAAAACTGAAATACTACGCTTATTATAGACAAACAAAGAGTCTCGCTTGTGAAAACGAAACGAAAAGAATTACTGTAAATGAGCTGCTTTATATGCGCGACACAGGCCGCCCTGAATGCTGCAGACGCTGTAAAATGAAGGCAGAGAACTTTTTCACAAATTCGTTGCAACAACGGCATAATTCGCGCATTCAAATAAACGCAAATGCTGATGAAGCCGTCGCCGTTGCACTAATCCGCCATTTTATATGCCAGTGTGTTGTTGCTGTTGTTGTGGCAATGTATTGCAGCTAATAAAAAGTTATATGCAATAAAAATTTAGAGGCCATCAGCTAGTAAAGGACTTGCAGTCCATTACACTTGCAGCAGCGTGGCAATGTGGCAAGAGCAGGAGTTTGAAATAAATAATAAAGGCGAAGATTAAACATTTTATGTGTGCAACATAATTTATTATATTGTAATATTCAATGTTAATAATTGCAGGTTTTGAGATTTTTTTTTGCATATTTGAACACTTAAAGCAAGGAAATTAAATTATTTTCTTAATGAGAAGAGCAATTATTATTTGGAAGGCTGCTTAGACAAGCTGTAATGGGTACGAAGATATAATTAGACAACATCACAGTATGTGGCGTATTTGAATAACACTCTCTGCCTTTCAAGGAGTTCGTAATATATAAGAGTTTTTTTGAAGAGTGACGAATAGAACAATTAAATTTCATAATTTAAAATGTGTCGAATAATACTTGACTCAAATTATACTGTAAAACTTGGTTGTTACTCTTATTAATAATTTTTTTAAAGGAGAGTAGAGAAGTGGTGAATAGAATTTTCTCTCTGTAGCGACAGCGTAGATAATAATTTACTTCTGGTAAGAGCTATATGTGATTAAACTAGACAATCCATAATAATACAATGAAAACAATATATGAATTGTAAAAACAGCGATTTACAATATATGCAATATATAAATATTAGAGCTGGTCAAACAAAAAATCGATTATCTTTTCACTTATGTGGGGCGATACATGTAAACGGCTTAATTTAGGCCAATTTTTAGAGGCATATTTGAAACGGAAAAAATAAATGTATGATAATGAAACTCAGCACGTTTATTAAGTAGATATTAAAATATGAAAATCCGATTTTTTTAAATTTTTTTTTTTAATATGGCCGCCGTGGCAGTCGATCTCTTGAGGCACTTCGCGGGATTTTTAGCTTTATTTTCTGACTTTTTTTTCAAAATATAAATATATATATGTATATAAGAGTAAGAGTTTATACTAAAAAACTGCTGAACTGTGCTAGTTGGAAATTTCGAATCAAATTTGTTTGATACAAGAAGAATGTTTCTTTGGAGCTTTCGCCCGCTAGATGGTGCTGAGGTCAAATAATTATAAAATAAGAAATAGCATACTATTTTATTATTATATTTCGCCTATATTTAAATTATGTATTGCTTATTTGATAAGTCGAATTGTTAATCAAAATCGGGTTTGCGTTAGGATTTGGTTCATGTAATATTTTTCAGTGTTTAAAATGGTTAAATTTATCCACTGTTCTATTAATTATTACAAAAAATATATAAATTTTCGTAACATACTGTTTTTCTGCTATCTTTTAATTGAGATGTCTATGATCTCATGTAATTTTGTTTTTCTAAGTATTTACTTGGATTTGCGATTTGTAAATGAAGTAAATGAGAAATTTTATATTTTCGATATTCCGTTTGCATGATAGTTTTCATGTTACTAGAAGCGCTAAACCTGCAAGATGCTTTTTAATTTCCCATGGCGAAACTCTAATAGATCACAGATATATTTATATAATCTCGATATAAAAAACGAAATGTTATGAAAGCAAACTGCTTTTAAAGTTTGTTTGCTTAAGTATAAGTATCAATTGAGATAAGAGGAAGAAGTCTCAATTCAAGTCTCTCAAGAAAACCAAATCTCATATAAGAAAGTTTTAAAAGAACTATGAAATGCAATTCTCAAATCTTGTCTTTTTTCATTTCGTAGCTGCTACCCTAAATTTGATGTTATTTTTTATCCAACTGCTATCTTTAATCTAAATGCTGATCTTCGAATATTTAAGCATTTCATTCCAACCAATTTTATATTACCTTGAACGAGACTGGAAAAGTTAATACAAAATGAGCTAAAAATGAAGTTGAGGGCATGAAATAGGTTAACCGAAAAGCTGATTATTACAAAACTATTATATTTTAATTATGATACATTAGCTGCTCTAACTTTAATTCGTAATCTACATGGTCTTAAAATACCCAGGTCTACTAATAGCACTATTAATAAGTTCTGATTCCATATATAAGATAAACTTCATTACAAAAGATTCTTAAATTTATGAGAGATCTTTATACACAAAGAAAAAATGATTTTTCATAAAGAACTATTATGTAACACATGTGTAGAAAGCAGAATGAACATAAGCTCGTCAAACAAAGGCGTATAATAAACCAAACACGACATGAATATTCAATCGCAATGCATTTTCTATGTTAATTCCCCCCACACAAAAACAAATACAAACACTGATACACACACACTCATACATATGCAAACAAGCAAACACTTTTCTAGTGGCTTTCCAGCGTACACTATTGTCTTGCCTTCTCTAAGTTTAATCTAGCCTGCATTTTTTATCCGCTTTATCACTCTTAATCTACTTTTTCTATGCATTCTCCACTATATTCCACACAAGAATTTGTTATGCATTCAATTCTTTTTCT